GAGGGTTCAGGGTTTCAGGTTAAGGCTTTAGGGGTTTAGGGTTTAGGCTTTAGGGGTTTAGGGTTTAGGCTTTAGGGGTTTAGGGTTTAGGGTTTAGGCTTTAGGGGTTTAGGGTTTAGGGTTTAGGGATTAGCTAAGGCTCATATAGGGTGCAGAGAACAAGCACGGCGGCTTCGAGGGTGCGGTTGCCCTTTGCTGGTTCCTGGCGAGTGGAAGGTCGGTCATAGGGGCCTCAATAAAACACCGATATGGTTTAGATTCTTAGATAATTAGCAACATGATTCCCTAACACCCCCAGGTACCTACTATATAGGGCCCTAGGGGCTCTAGTAACCCTATATAGTCTTAGTAGGTACCTGGGAGGTTAGGGATTGCTTAAGGCTCCCTAATGGTACTTATAATGCAGTATACCCCTAGGGGTCGGAAATGGTGTTTTTTAGAGCTCCGTATCACTGTACTGCCATGTTGGGTGGCAAAGCGTCGTTTGCACATCTCTGGCCGTCCATTCCTCCAACCAAGAGAACTTGTTCACCGCAGGCTAATCCCAAACCTGATATAGACATCATGCACCGCATCGGACATGCGGAGTTGACGAGAAGCCCGAAACCCCCAAGCCACAACCCTGAAGCTCTGAAGACAAATCACCCAAAATCCCACAGCCTACCCCCACGTCCTAAAGCCCGTCTGCCTTGCACTCCAGCTTCCAACCCTTCAGAACCCAAGACCTACCTCTAAGTCCGTTGAGCCAAGACCGAACCCTAAACCCTAGACCCTACACGTAAACGTACCTTTTTGGGGCTCCTTGTAAATTCCTTTTATAGATCCTTGAAAAATGTAGGTGATTCGGGGGTTAAGGTAAACCCTCTACCGCAAAGCTTCTTGAAACCCTTAAAACCCCATAGAACCCCTAAAACCCCTAAAGCCTTATTTATAAACACGTAAAACAAAGCCGAGGTCTTCGCCTCGTCGAGCTTCTGGCAGATCGCAAGGCCTTCGCTCCGCGAGCATTGGAACGGCAGGGATCGGATACCGGGGCTTAGGATGGGTCCTTAAAGGGTTTAGGGTTTAAGATTTATTGGTTTAGTGTTTAGGGTTTAGGGTCCTAAAGCGGTACCTCAAAGGGCTATACGGGCTCTATCAGGGTTCCATAGGGGATCTATACGGGTATAGGGGGATCATGGGACTATTGTAACCGGGGTTGTTTCTTGGGTATCGTGTGTGTGCGTGTGTGTGAACCTGCTTAGCACATGGGACAAGAGGGTCACTCCTACAGTTGTCTGCCGTTTCGTGCTGCAGGGGGGCTGGACTTGTGCATCGGTCGCCAGCCCAACGAAGAGAGCCTTTGCACATGCTGATATTCTCGGGAAACGTCCTGGGAAAGTTCCTGCAGTGAAGTTTAAACAATTGTGAGCTGTGCATGGTGCTATCCTGTGATATCGTCGCTGCACAAGCATAGTATCTGCAGCCAGCTCGCATGACAGTCAACAACAACCCCGCCTCACCCCTTTTCTCTGCTTTCCTCTTGCTCTCTGGCCGAAATCCCACAAGTGTTTTTTGTGTCGGCAGTGTTGTAGGATTTGCGTTCTGGGGCTTGGGGTACAAGGTCAAGGTAGTTTCCCGCGCAAGGTATGCTTTAGCTGCGATTGTGTTGAGCACTTGTCATACTCGTCACGGTCGGCCTACTATAGCCTACTGTTGTTATCTTGTTTGCTGGTTTGCCCTGTGAACATGTTCTCGCCATGAGCCCCACACTGGCCATGGGCATCGTTGTGACTTTAGCTACCGCTAGTGCCAACTGATGACCCTAAACCCTAAACCCGATGACCTCAAACCCCTGGCACCCGACATGCCATACTCAGCGAAGGCCCAGCTCAACAAGAAAGATGAGCGAGGCCTGGAGCAAACAGCTTTTAAGGCTTCAGGGTTGGGGTTCCGGGCTCAGGGCTTAGCAGGTTTGAAGGTTTAAGGGTTGAGCTCTCGGATTTGGGGCTTTGCTTTTTGTTCTCGAGGGCGTCTTACAGAGGTGGGATTATGATTAAGTTCACGGGGTTTAGAAGGTTGCCATGAGTGCTACAAGGGCCTGTTCATCTGTTGCACGTTTTGTTTCTTGATATGTTTGAAGGCTGTTGTTTTTAGGGCGACCGGGGTCTGCTCTAAGGCTTAAGGGTTCTGCTCTAAGGCTTAAGGGTTTAGGGTTGACAGTATTGAATATTGAGGGTTTAGAGGGTTTAGAGATGATGATAGGTTGAACTGGGTTCAGCTGAAAGACGGGCTCCTATAAGCCCTAAACCCAAAATTATGTGCTTGAGCACTTGAACCCTGAAAGCCGAGCCCCCTGAGCCATGTTATGCAGATTTCTGAAACCACTTCGAGGCCCGGGATTTTAGATGCCTGCAGAATTCGAAGCGCCATTCTGTAGGGCTCCTTATTGCATCTAATCCTGTCAAAGGCAACAACTGTGTTCTCAGCTGACCTCACCCACGAAGCTTTCCCCCCAAAGCCGGAAACCAAAATGTCTTGTCTCTAGCCCTGAGCGCCCTGAACCTTGACCCCACGCACATGCAAGCATTGCCAGAGGGTATAGGTACCAATGTGGTCCATAGTCTTAGTTGCGAAATACCTACTACAAGCTCTCGGCTCTCAATTCCGAGAACTTAACTCCAAAACCCTAATGAGCTTCAAAACCCTGAGTTCCAAACTCAGGTTGGAAACCCTACCTGCAAACGACTCTTTGTGGTTCTCAAGCTCTAAACCACTAAACCCTAAAGCCCCTAAACCCCTAAACAAACCTTAAAACTCTTATAACCCCCAAAACCCGTAAACAAACCCCTAAAACCCCCAAACCCCTAAACAAACCTTCAAAAACCCTTAAAAACCCCTAAAACCCCTAAGCAAACCCTAAAACCACCAAAACACCCCCTAAAACCCAACAAACCCTAAAACCCCTAAACAAACCCCTAAAACCCTTTCCCAGGCTGGACGCCCCTTTTCCATGCCTGCTCTCAAGGCTCCGTCGACCTGGCTCCTGGCTCAGCTCTGGGTCTTTTTTTGGGGGGCTTGGAATATTTTTTGTAGGGTTTAGGGTTTAGGGTTTAGACTTGGGTTTAGGGATTTTTTCTAGGGTTTATAGTAGGGTTTAGGGTTTAAAGATATATCTTTACATAGCAAGGTGGGCTTTAAGGGTCTTTAAAGGGCTTGGAGCTGTCTTTTGGTTTGTACGGCTTAGTGGGTTTATAGGGTTTTAAGGGCTCTTGCAGGGTTTAATAGGGCTTGGTGATTTAGGGTTGAAGATACGAAGGTTTATGTAAGTTGGGTTGTTAAGGGCCTCTAGAAGGCTTGGAGTGTTGTTTACGGCCGATGTAGTTGAAGAGGGTTTGAATCGGGTCTTAAGGACCTTGTGGGGCTTGAATAGGATTTGGAGAGGGTTTATCGGGCTCGAATTTTCATAGGGGCCTTTACAGGGCTTGTGGGAGTTTAGGGTTTGGGAAGACTAGGAACCTGCGATGCATCTTTAGTGCTTCTTTCCCAGCGGCCTCTTTGGAATCCTTGGAGGGCCCTTGAATGGGTTATTCTTGGGGCTACTATAAGGGTGCCGTTCCATGAGAGGTTGTTTCTGGACGGTCTCGGTTTTGGCTCATAGATAATCAGGCATGTTAGGTTGAGATTATGCGGTTATGCAGCCCAGCAGATGCATCGTGACTAGCTTGTTAGCTCGAAGGTTCCACATGGATGCATCTAACATTCCGAATGTAGAGTTTAGGGTTTAGGGTTTTGTTGCGGGATGTAAGACAGAGTCTATGTGCAGTGGCCACGTCTTGGGGGGCATGGCAGGGCAAGAAAGGATCTGCTGTCGCCATGTGCGCGCAACCGCGCGGAAATGGGTATCTCAGTTGATGTGCGCTTGATCAGCGGACGAAGGGCGATCGTGGAGTTAGAAGCAGATGCTTCTGTGGAGACCTTGAGACAGCGTGCCCAGAGTGCTCTGGCAGTTGGCCGGGGAAGGTTGCTGAACTCCGCAGGTGGCTTTGCATTTCTACGTCGGGCTTGGTTTTTGAGCTGTGCTCTTCAGTTTGGTCGGGTGCAACGTAGACCTAGAAATAAAGTAAGACGTCTGAATGGGATCATACTCTGCAATGGCCCTCAGGTGACGTGCTGAATGGAACAACAACCCTCACACAAGCAGGACTGCAAAGCGGTGATGCTTTGCTTCTGCATATAAGCCAGGTTCAAGTGATGGCTGCCAAGCTTCAATGTGACATCGTGACAGGGTCTGCTTTTGCTGCGATCCTGGGTGATGGACGTTTGGTAACCTGGGGCGAGCCCGACTATGGTGGCGACAGCAGTGCGATTCAAGATCGGCTGCAAGATGTGCATCATGTACAAGCTTCCACCTATGCCTTTGCTGCCATCCTGAGTGATGGATCGGTGGTCACCTGGGGTGATACCGATTTTGGCGGCGACAGTAGTGCCGTGCAAGAGCAGCTGAAGCATGTTCAGCAGATTCAATCTTCTGATGGTGCCTTTGCGGCCATCCTGCGAGATGGATCGGTCGTCACTTGGGGCGATGCCGACTATGGTGGTGACAGCAGTGCTGTGCAGCATCGCCTGAAGAATGTGAAGCTGGTCCAGTCCGCTGCCAACGCCTTCGCCGCGATCCTGGCCGATGGATCCGTGGTGGGGGTTTCCGAAAATAGGGGACCCTAGTACCCTAAGACTCCAAATAGCCCAAAGTAGGTACTATTTATGACCCCAAAGTGGGTACTATTTGTATACTTGGAGCCTTAGGGGTATAGTACCCTAAATAGTAGGATCCTTATTATAAGGACCCCCCCAAAAGAAGGTACCCCTTAGTTTCGGAAGCTCCCAGGTCACTTGGGGAGAGACCGGCCTCGGTGGGGATAGCTCTTTGGTTCAAGATCGGCTGAAGGATGCTGGGTTTTAGAGTACCATGCTTGAGTACTTTTTTTTTGGACCTGTTCCTTAAGGGAACCATTATAAATTCAAAGTCTATACTTTTTTCTCCCTGGTTACTTCAAAGTCCAGGATGTGCGGCAGATACAAGCCTGCTTCTATGCCTTTGCTGCCATCCTAGGTGATGGATCCGTGGTGACTTGGGGTTTCGATGCCTGTGGCGGTGACAGCTCTTCCGTGCAAGAGCAGCTAAAGCATGTCCGACACATACAATCTACTGATGAAGCTTTTGCTGCTATCCTTGCGGATGGATCTGTCGTGACATGGGGTGATTCGGAGACGGGTGGCGACAGCAGCTATGTGCAAGATCAGCTGAAGAACGTGCGGATGATCCAATCATCTTCCCATGCCTTTGCTGCGATCCGTGCTGATGGGTCTGTAGTGACTTGGGGCTGCGACGACTCCGGAGGCGACAGCTCTGCTGTACAGCATCAGCTGAAGAAAATCCAGCAGATACAAGCTTCCACCGATGCTTTTGCGGCCATTTTGGACGATGGATCTGTCGTAGCCTGGGGTGCCAGCGAGAATGGTGGCGACTGCAGCCCTGTGCAAGACAGGCTGAGGAATGTAAGTCAGATCCAATCTTCGGGCTTTGCTTTTGCTGCAATTCTGGATGATGGCTCTGCGGTCACTTGGGGAAGTGACGACCTCAATGATACCACCGCTAGCAGTGTTCATGAGCAGCTGAAGGATGTCCAGCAGATACAGACTTCATCAACTCACGCGTTTGCGGTGATCCTGGGCAATGGATCTGTCTTCACCTGGGGCTTCGGAACAGAGGAGCATGACCAGATAGTTGTACCAGATCAGCTGACACCCCTCAGCGCTTAGGTAAGACCGGCCACCTCCACGCTGTATAATTTCGTACAAAACTCATTAATCTCTCGAGTTCATTCTTCGAGGGCTGCAGGAACTGGAACCAGTTCTCTGCTCTCTTGATCACGGCGAACGTCGGAAAGAGCACAAAAAGAGCTGCAGCGGTGGCTGAGGTCAGGCTTGTCAGAAAAGTCCTGACCAGACCTTGCTTTTAGTTTCAATTTTCGGGGTCCTGGTTGATGGGTTCTGGTTCAGAGCCAACACTTGCCCGAGGGTTCTTCTGGGGATTCCGCTAGTATTTATGGTCTTGAGGGTTTAGACTTGGGTTGACGGATCTAGTAGGTAAGTTTTCTGAAGCCCAGCAAATCGGTTCGTCCAAGACGCCGAGCTTCAGGTGCGTTGGCTGCTGAAGCATCAGTGCGATGCGCAGGTGGCCAGTGTGACATTTGGGTGATTGGGGTGTTTACTATTCCCAAAGGGTCCAAGTACCAATATAGTAGGTTCTTAGTAGGTATTTGGGCCCCAAAGCATATACTATATACTGTTGCTTGGACCCTTTGGGATTTATTATTGCACTCCTGAGGATGCAAATTTCACAGTACATGTGTTCTATTTTCTGCTGTGTGTACATAAAAGACTCAAATTTCGCAACATCAAGGGTGCTCCTAAATCCTGAGCTTCATAGCACAAAAAACCCAGTGGTACTCCTAAACCTTGAACTCTAACACCTGAACATTGATCCTCAAACCCTGAGACCTGGACGCCAATCTCCCCCAACAGTGATAGAGCACCATGAATGAATACCACGACGACCAAGACGAAGACCACCACCGCCGCCGCCACCACCACAGCACCACCAGGACGACCACGACGAGCAGGAGACCGCAAGGAGACCACCAAGGGACTTTCGGGAGACCACCAGGACTAGCCGGTAGATCAGCTGGAGATCACAAAACACCAGGAGACCACCAAGAGAATCCGGAAGACCACCCAGAGACCATGAGGAGACCAGCAGGAGACCATGGGCCACCAGGACCGCCAGACCGCCAGCACACCCCCAAGTACTGGCGGAATCTGAGAGCATGGCCAAACCGGTGCTGGCGGAATCAGGCGTCCGTGCTTCCCGAAGTACTGACGGACGGTTTTCAGGACCACGGCGCTTGTGCTGCCCCCATATACGGGAGGACGGCCAACATGCTCTTCCCCAAGTACTGGCGGGATTCAGAATTTTGGGAGCCGAAAGCTGGCTCGTGCATGGAATTTGCAATGAATGTGGCTCTCCAGGAGACGAATTTCAGTAGATCCAGTGCAAATGGCAGAACATGGGGGGCACTTACCTATTCCTATGCACTGCAGTGGGCCAGAGCGAGAGACCACGTGTCAGGGAACGTTTTTTCCGAGCCGCGCGGCCACAAACCCATTCTCTGTACACTGATGCAAGCAGCGCATTAGGCCGTTGCGCGCGCGGGTGTGTGTGTGTGTGTGTGTCTGTGTGTGTGCGTGCGCATAATAATACAATGGAGACACTAAGTACTAACTATAAATAGTGTTGTAGGAGAGCAGAGTCGAGCTCTGTGACTTGCGAGGATACAGCCAATGGGAACATGTCTGCCCTGATGACGATCATCGGCGCCAAAAACCACACGAAGGCCAGATTGAACCCTACACACCACGAAGGCCTTCTCTGGTGTCGGCTTCGGATCCGTCGTAATTACAGTCGATTTGGAGGCGGGCTGAGACGAATTTCTCAGCATCTTCAAAGCCCAAGCCAACAGAAGATTTCACCCTTCTCCACTGGCCCAGCACGGCTTCAAGTTCCTTGCAATATCGCCAGGCAGCAGTCCAGTAAGACCATACGCTGTAACCTTGAACTCCAAATTCGAGATGCTGTCCAGATAGCCTCGCAGCTCGTTCGGCGCAGCTGCAGCCTCCTGGCGGCACTTGATTCCTTGGACCCTAACGGAGACGTAGCTTATGTCCCCCCAAAATGGTGTCCCTACACTTTTGCTATGATGCAACACTACATATATTCATGCTCCGCTGTACTATCTCAGGAATGAATCCCAGACCGCAGGCCCAGAAAATGCAACAGGACAGCTATAGCAGAGCTGAAATTAATTTCGTCTCACGGTGATGCTTCCGGGGGGTTTCAAGGATTTTCAACTGGGTTGGGAAACGCACGATTGGAAAGCTGCCTTGGGAGTGTGTAGCATACTGTGCGAGAAAGTCTCTTGTTGGCCCCAGAGTTAGAAAGAACACAACATGGGGTCGAGCACAACTACACCAAGAGCCAAAAAGGAACTCCGAGTTTTCATTCAGAGTCTGCTGAGTCTACTGCTTTCGTGTAATCGGTTACTTGTTTTGGTGCTTCTCCGGGTTGTCGTCTAAGTCATTTCCGTCTCAAGAGTCCGTGGGTCCGAAGTCCCGATGTAGTAGAATGCAGGGTTTCTATCATATAGGAATTCCTAGTCCATAGCAGTACCTAGGACCCTTTGGGATCGTGCTCTGGTTACTCTACGTTCCAAATACTCAGTCTGGTATACAGAATGTTCTGGAGTGTTGCACACGGATTGCTTGGACTCAGCGTCCCACTCTTTCAGGCGTAAATGCGCAGAACGAGTCTGGAGACACTGCAATGATGCTTGCTCTCCGAGACGATCAGGCACTCGGGGACGGTCTAAGCCCTTCCGCCTTCACAGTCACACAGACACATATACCTCTTGCATGTATGTGTCGCAGTATGCGTATGTATGCATGCATGGATGTATGGATGTACGTACCTTGAACCCTGAAGCTGCGAAACCTCAAAACTGCTGTCCAAAGGTGCCTTGGAGCCCGGAGAAACGGGCAAACTCGTCGGCTAGTGCGCATGAAGAGATGTTTAGGACCTAAGGAGTTTAGGTTATACACCTATAGGTCATCATGGAGGGTCATGGTTATTTCTAGTTTGTTCCATGATATCTCTATCAACTTTAACTTCCCTGCAGTGACAGTTCGTGATGTAGCATTGTTGCTATTGACAGTTGACCCAACCTGAATCGAGACCTCCGGTGAGACTAGGATAGTCTTCAGGATCGCGCGGGCGGGGGTGGGTGGCGCTGGTGAGCATGGTGGCCGACCATGATGTGATGGTGCTGCTCCTATAATAGCTAGCACTATAGGCATCAGCAGCCGCGTTAGTTTCGGAGACGCGTATGTGGACACGCACACTACTACAATGAACGTGCACGACGTACAAAGAATCATGCGCTGCCTTGGCCCAGCTGGAGTTCGCACAATGGATCCTCGATGATCCACACACGGACGTGCCTGGGACTGTTTATTGCAGTTAGGGCCAGGATTAGGGCTGAGGAGTTTGACTCCTACGGTGTAATTCGGGGCTTCGGGTCTATCAAAAGTCTAGAGATGCCCTCAACCCTAAACCCTTTTTCCAGTGCATTGTACATCTGGAATCCTGCTGGTGCACAGGTTTAGACTTCCTGAACCCTAACCCCTAAACCCCTAAACCCCTAAACCCTGAACCCCTAAACCCTTAAACCCCTAAACCCCTAAACCCTCGAGTTTAGGGAGGGGTGGGTTCGAGCGACCAGAGCTCAACAAAATCTCAGGGAATAGGCCGCAAGAGCCGAAGAGTTCGGCTGGATTGGGTCTAGGGCTCAGGGCTTGTTTAGGGTTTAGGGGTTTTAGGGTTTTAGGGCTTTAGGGGTTTAGGGGTTTTAGGGTTTTAGGGGTTTAGGGGTCTAGGGGTTTAGGGGTTTGAGGGTGTAGGGTTTCAGGGTTTAGGCTGTCAAGGCTTCATGGGAGTGCTCTGGAGACATCAGATTCATGATTTCAGGGTGGGCGTGACTGGTTCTGGATTCGAGGCTTCTCTCCATGCTGCTTCATGTAGGGGCCTCAATAATTGCCTATATTATTTTGGGGGTTCCTTATTATTATAATTACAGTATACTGGGCCCCAAAACCCTATTCTAATTATTACGGCCCCTATCCTATCTTAGCCGGCCGCCTGCCCTGTCCCGCATGGAGAAGCTTGAGGCAATCAATACAACGTAAGCTGCCAGCCATCATCCGAACTGTGACGAGGCTGGAACGAATACAAACAAACAACCAGCAGCGCTGGTGGGTCTGAAAATCCGAATGGACGAAGTCCGATCCAGAATCAACATTCACATGTATGTCGGCTCTTCAAACTTATGAATGTTGAGGACGCCTGCTTTTCCAGACATACGCTCCCACACTCTCTCTGCAGGTGCTTCTGCGCAACCTGGCGGGAGAGGACGTCCCCCGGTTGTGTCAGTCAGTGTTCCGGGCGCAAGGCAGTCTGGTGATCTTGTATGGATAAACAGCATGCGGGCATGCGTGTATGCATGGATGGATGTATGCATGTTTGTATGCCAATGTGTGCATCCGCGTGTGTGTGTGTGACAAGGAGAATGTATGTTCAAGCATGAATCGGTGGATCTATGGGTGTAGCTCAACGAGCTGCGACGTGCCGGCTTATCGACATACAGATGCATCAAGGACTGTACGGATGCACGCAGGGGGCATATGTATGTGGCTGAAAGTAGTGTATGGCAATACTTAGCGTAGCTACATAGACAGGTCTTTTTTATGGCAAGTTTTCATGCATGCTACGCGTATTTGTCAATGTGTAATGTGGTGTAATGCAATGTAGTGTCATGTAGTGCAATATCATGTGAATTTGTAACGGAACGGAATGGAATGGAATGCTGTAGTACGGCGTAGCCAAGGCAATGCAAATGCAATGAAAGGATATGTTAGGTCTAGGTTGTGGCATGTGAGGTTGTATAATGTCATGTTATGCCATGTCATGTTAGATTGTGTTATGCCATGTCGTGTCATGTTGTGTGCGGCCATGTCATGCTATGTTATGTTATGTTATCCAAGGTTGTTCTTATGTTATGTTATGTGTTGTTAACGTTATGGTAGGTTTTGATTATGCTATTATGTTATGTTATGCCATATTATGTTGTGGTGTGTTTTGTTATGTGTTG